CGCAGGCTGATGTGTTTTAACCACACACACCTCTACACACACACACACACACACACACACACACACACACACACACACACACACACACACACACACACACACACACACGACTTAAACGCAGACTTTTGTTCCTCCATGTTTCGTTGTTATTGTTTCACTGAGCGGACCCGCCCCTTTTTTTTTCAAACACTCCCTTTTTTGGTCCATCTGCGGCGGTAAAAGTTTTTGTGCGCTGTGATGATTCGGCTGTACCTTTAATAATGAATATTAAATGTTGTGAGGAAATCTTTCCACCAATAATTCCAATAAGTAATCCAAAATGTATTCACTTCAGGTTTACGAAAGTAACTGTAATCAGATTACTCGTTTTTCAAATGTAACGCGAGCTGAATACAGTTACTTGATTTTTGTATTCTGATTACGTAACTCCGTTACATGTATTCCGTTACAACCCAACCCTGCATGTGTCACTAAAACTACACAATTCCATAAACCTCAGACAAAACACTTTAAAATCTAGACCTATCTATAAAGTAATTATTCACCTGGTGGGCAAGATGTACAAATGGAGTGGAGGGTAGGAGGGTAATCTATTTGGACATGTTTCCTACAAATTGTTTATGCCAAACATCTGTGCCAAGCAATACAATACCTTGTGCATACAGTTATGAATGGAGTCCTATTTACATAGGTTACTGATTGCCTTGCCTTTTGGGAGTTTTAAACATCAACAAAACAAGAACCTACCTATCGCCTCGTGTTCATTTAGGCAAAGTTTGTAAGTTGTGTCACTCCTGTGTTCCCCGAGTGATGGTCCACTTGAGCAAGCTGTGTATATATATATATATCAGGCTAGAATGCACACGTTTTCAGTTTAAGAACTATCCAACAAAAGTTAGGATGGATTGGAACACATTGGTGTACATGTTTATGAACTGCTAACACCAAATGTACAGGAATATGCCTGCATGGCAATTGAAGAGCCAGTATAAAAGAGAGAGAGAGTGTGTGTGTGTGTGTGTGTGTGTGTGTGTGTGTGTGTGTGTGTGTGTGTGTGTGTGTGTGTGTGTGTGTGTGTGTGTGTGTGTGTGTGTGTGTGTGTGTGTGTGTGTGTGTGTGTGTGTGTGTGTGTGTGTGTGTGTGTACGTGT